TTTCCCCTTTTTGTTTTGGGGTCTCTTTACGAAAGCTGGGCATTAAGAACGAAACCTTGTTTATTTAGGGGCTATTGGGGCACCTAGTGGACTCCAGAAGTGCATGGAACAATGTGTTTGTTTGGCTCTTGTTTTCTTTTCGGGCCATTGCTATACCTACTTTTGGGGCTCACATAGGTGGAATCTGCATACCACTTGCTGTAGCTACAAAATCGAGCAACCCACGATCTGAATTCATCCGTTCGGCGAGAGACGCCCCGGAACCCTGAGATAGAGCCCTGTCCCGTAGGTGTATAAGCCCGTGAAGATTTTCAGATCCCTAAGCCCTAAATCCCTAAACCCTAAATCCCCAAATCCTAAACCCTAAACCCTAAATCCCTAAATCCCCAAATCCTAAACCCTAAGTCCCTAAACCCCAAACTACCTGCCTGGCCAGGGCTCCATGCTGTGCAGCGCCACTTTGCTGCCAGGTTTTAGCCCAAAGGGTCCATAGAGGTTTAGGGCTTTGGATTCAGGGTTTAGGGTGTAGGGATATATTGGGGTAATATTAGGGTTATAGGGGTTTATATAGGGATAATGGAAAAGGAAAAGGAAACTACTAATTAGGGTGTACGGATTTAGGGATTCAGGGTTTAGGGATTTAGGGATTTAGGGTTTAGGATTCAGGGTTCAGGTTTCATAGGATTTGGGGGTTTTTAAGGACGTGCTGTAGTATATACTTAGGGCCCAAAGGGGTTCCCCTCACGGTCTAAACTCCTAGTATCCCCCTTAATTAGCCCTATTCTACTCCCCTATGTATCCCTTTAAGGAGTATAGACTATCTGGCTACTTGGGCCCTACCCTAAACCCTAAACCTAAAGATATGATATGGCTACATAGGCCCTTTGGGTAGTGGCCTTGGGAAAGGGGAAAGTCGGTTGACAGCCTTTAGGATCAGCGGCACAGCTTTCAAAGTCTGGGATTAAAGAGTTCAGGGTGTAGGATTTAGGAATTTAGAGTTTAGGGTTTAGGATTTAGGGTTCAGGGATTTAGGGTTTAGGGTTGAGGCCTGTGCTGGAAAGATTGTAAGGCCTCGCGAGTTCTGGGAAGCACATCATTGAAGGTGATTATTATCATTATCATTAGCATCATTACCGGAAATCAGGACCGTTCTGCTCATTTTTATATAGAAGCAGCTCACCAGTAGTACTATGGATACATGATGGTTGCAGAGACGGCTGAAGAGGTTGGCATAGCAGTGGTAGACGTGAACGATAGGGGTTCAGGCTTTAGGTTCTAAAGGTGAATCCCAACATATATGTACCCATTATATAAAGCCATAGCAGATTTAGGCCCCCAAAACCCTACACCCCAAAACCCTAAAACTCTACACCCCAAAACCCTAAACCCCCTGACCTGCAAACCCATGGATAAGGCCGGGTGCAGCCCGTGGCTCCATCTGCGACTGGATGGGGGGCCCCCAGCCCGGAAATGGAAAGAGTTGACTTAGACCCTGCACTACCCTCAGAGGGAATCAAGGAATCTATAAAGAATAGGGGTTCGGGTTTAGGGTTTAAGGGTGGGTAGGGAATACGGGAATGTATTGTATAGGGTCTGTATAGGTCCCATTATGTAGGCAGATATTCCCTTCTTCCCTACTAACCCTCGAGAAGTCTATTGGGGTCTCAGTATCCACTATTAGGGCACCCCTATAGCCCCAAGAAATGATACTAAAGTGCAAGGACTAAGAAATAGGGAGCGTGTGAGGTTCCGACGGGGGATCACACCTTTGCGATGGCATCAGTCATGTAGAACTGCGCAAAGACCCGACCAACGAACCCACAGCGCATTGATGGGATATGTTTATATGAGAGATTCTGAAAAAAACCCTAAAACCTAAACCCTAAACCCTTGGCCCGGGGGACCCCAAGGGATACGTAGGGATGCATGGGGAATTGCACGGGGCTGTTGAGGGCTCCTGGCCAGCCTCGGGATCATTGCGAGAAGCACACGTGCAAACCCCACCCAGTAGCAGCGGGAGAATCAGTATAACATATATATGAGCTATAATCTAAACTCCTTGAAGAGGGGTTATATAGGGGATTATATAGGGGATTAAATGAGGGATTATATGGGGGTTTCCCAAAATTAGGGGTACCTTTTTGGGGGTCCCTATAGTAAGGATTATAGTATTGGGTTTATTTTGGGTACCCCTTATTAGGGAAACTACCATATATATATATATGTATGTACATATACACGTTTGTTTGTATATAGATATCAGGAATGTAGCCGGAGCCTGTAGTGTGATCATCGGTAACCACTTAGCCTTCCGCACGAACAAAAACTTTTGCCTCACATTGCTTGGCTAACATTATCTAGCGCGGTTTAGGGCTTTTTGGTTAAGTCGTGTACAGGGAATCTTGCAGAAACTCCTTCGTCCAAGTGGAAGCTCTGGCACGTTCCGTCAAAAATTACGTACGTCAGACGGCCTCAGTCGTGTGACTTCAGTGGTGTGAGATCAAGGGAATATTCACATTTGCACCGAGCTACAAAACCAAGGTCTTCAATGCCCAAAACCAGTAAGCCTGAGCTTTACACCTGCAAGGGACCTGTATAATGCAGCTCTCAATACTTAGGGTGCGGCAAAGGCATGATTTGAGCACCCCAAACCCTAAACCCACAGACAAAGTGCGAGGCCTCCCAGCATCACCAGCAACAGCACTTCCATGGCCTTCACGTGCCCGCAGGTTTCGGTGCGGCTTGCAGGGTCCTGGTGGGTTCCCTATAGAGGTCCAAGGACCCAAATAATAGGGTTTTAGGGCCCAAGTGTCATGAATAGTATAGTATTTGGGCCGTGAAGCCCTATTATTTGGGTCCTTGGACCCTGAGGGGTTTACTTGAACCTGGAGTTACGAATGGGCCAGGCAACCTACTTATGAAGGGCTGCACTAGAGCTATTATGGGCTTCTCAAGCGGCTATAATATATTATCTAACTCCAGGGTCCCTAAACCCCTAAATCCCTACACCCTAAGGGGCTATAGTATATTATCTAGCTCCAGGGTCCATCAAAGTAGCGTCACTTGAAGGATTCCGGCAAACTGACCAAGTTGAAGTAGCAGTTTGGGTCCCTAAGGCGACACCAAGCGGGTTTAGGCTTCAGGGATTCATTTAGAGTATAGGGTTGAGGGTTTCATTTAGGGTCTAGGGTTTAGGGTGTAGGGTTTCACTTTTCGTATGGGATCTCATGTTGGCATTCGTTCGGGTTCTGGCTGACGAGGTTAGGCTGCCATGATCAAGAGAAGAGTCTGTGCACAGACGAGAATCCAAGTTCAGCGGGAGATTAGGGTTGAGACGTCAGGGTTGAGAGTTTAGGGTTGAGGGTTTAGGGGCTTGAGGGTTTAGGGTTTAGGGTTTAGGGTTGAGAGTTCAGGGGCTTTGAGGGTTTAGGGCTGAGAGTTTAGGTTTTAGAGCTTTGGGTTTAGAATTTAGGGCCTCCTTTTTGGGTCTTTCGAGGTTCACTGATCAGCTTGCGAAGGTTTGAAAACGATGAATCGCAGCCTGCGTGATGTTGGATTCTTTGGGTTTAGGAGCTTTGGGCTTATGGTTTAGGGTTTTAAGGGTTTAGGTTCAGTACTGCTCCCCCTCAGTAACGGTTGGATAATGCTTATAATATGGTTATATATAGCCCTTAATAGGACCCCTAATATAGACTGTTACTGGGTGGGGGCAGTACCCAAGGTTTAGGGGTCTAGGGTTTAGGGTTTTAGGGCTTAGGGTTTAGGAGTGTAGGGTGTCGGGCGTTAAGTTTAGTAGTTTAGGGTTTGTGGTTGAAGGGGACAGTTGCTTTGGTACCCTAAGTGCACAAATCATCCAACACTTTCCTTCGGAAACCCTTTGAGAGGCCAGCGGTTTAGGGTTTAGGGTTTAGGGTTTAGGGTGGACCAATGCCAACACCCCCCCAAACTCAATCCTTCAAACTGAACACGGCTTAGGGTTTGGGTTTCAGGCTTTAGAGTTTAGGGAATCCTACTTCCCCCACAGACCCATTTTCTCGCTAGTAGATGCAGGGTGGCTGCGGCGGTGCGTCTGAATGCTCAACGACTGCCCCAGACACTCACTTGCCAAAAAAGTCTTAACTCTAGACCTGTAGGCCTGACTGAGGGTTGATCGTCTAAGGTTCTCGTGAAAAAATGTATGGCAATCCTGCGGGTCTATAAGGGAACAGATCTCGGAAATCATTTTCCATCATGGCCATGTTGGGAACAGGAGATTTGATCAAGTACCCCTGCCTATGTGGGAGGTGCTCGGGTTGCAGGTTCAGAGGATTGTAGAGTGGTTTAGGGTTTACGGGTTTAGGGTTTAGGATTTAGGGTTTAGGGTTTGGGAGATGAGGCAATTGGGCTTCAGAAGGCTTGAAACTTCGTCGGGTTTTCAGACTCTCGAACCCTGTCGATGGCGGGCATTTCTCAAACTGGGGGCTTCGTCAAAGAGACCCTGAACCCTAAGCTGGCTACAGAGGCCCCCGCACATGTTCAGACATGTGCAAACCAGGAAGTTCCAGCCTATATGCCTTTGCCAGAGGGTCTACACGCCCTACTTTTTCAGGGTTAAGGGCTTAGGCTTCACGCATTTGTAGTTGTAGTATTGGTTTTCCGTAAGTATATGATTGTCGGATACTTGGTCCCATACGGGTTAAAACTAACAAACTTGCATGGCCTCAGTATGCTGGACTTCCACAATTCCCAGGGATCAGGGCACTTGGAGCCTTACTGTACTAGGGTGATCTATGAGACCTCAGGCGTAGACCGTGCGGGTTAAGGGTTTGGGGCTTAGGGATTGCGGGTCCATCTTCCCTGATCTTTGCCATTTGATTCTCCATCATCTGGGGTAATATACCCTAAACCCTAACCCCAAATCCTAAGCCCTAAACCCTTAGCCTGAAATCCTTCAACCCTACAACCCTGAAACCCTAAACAGCGAGACTAAATCCCTACATTCCCCCAGCTTCCATTTCATTCTCCACGGGCCTGTCCATTTTATTCTACATTATAGGGGGACAATACCCATTCCTCAACCCTAATCCCTGAACCTGAATCCCTAAACCCTAATCCCTAAACCCTAAACCCTCATCCCTAAACCCTAAACCCTCATCCCTAAACCCCATTAAGTTCCTTAACAGCAACCCAGACTAAGGTGAATAGGTGCGAGGTTGGCGCCCCGGCTCGGCATTTGGCTTCTCTTCGTCGGAGTCTGCAGTTTAGGATTTAGGGTTTAGGGTTCAGGGTTTAGGGTTTAGGATTTAGGGTTTAGGGTTTAGGGTTTAGGGAGTTTAGGATTTACCCTAAGGGTCCAAGGACCCAAATAATGGGGTTTTAGGGGCCAAATACCATTGAAATTATCATATTTGGGCCCCAAGACCCCATTATTTGGGTCCTTGGACCCTTAGGGTTAGGGAGGAGCATCCTGACGAGTGAATCTTCAAGTCAAGGCCTTCCATCCTTGGCGCTTGGGTTTATAGGTCGTAGGGTTTAAGGGATTATAGGGCTTAGGGTCTAGGCTTTAGGGTCGGCTACCTGGGAGGCTCGTGAGTCCCGACTGGGGCATGATGGCTAGGGCGTGCGGCCCGCCAGTCTAAAGTGTTCTCAGCATGCCGAATCCTTTACAGACCTCTACTGTTTCCGTAGCACGTTACATGCTTTGTGGCTTTTTTGTATTCTATGACTACTCAATATTCGAACCTAAACCTCAAACCACGTTAAGAGCAATCTTCAAAGGAGAACATAGGCCCGATGAGCTTTTTGAGAGTGCTTCTTGGGGGGTGCCTCCAGCATCTCAGAATGTAGGTAGATATGCTTAGGGTTTGTGATGGTTTGTGGTTTAGGGTAGGTATCTACATGGTGTATAGTCAGGGGCCCAAGATGTTCCCATACGACTTGTTCGGGCCCCAGGTATTTACCACAGATCCTTTGGGTGAGGGGTCCTTGAAACCCTAAACCTCAACCTCCCAGCCCTAAACCCTAAAGCCTGAATCCTAAAACCCTATAAATCTACATCCTAAAGCCCTAATCTCTAAAACCTAAATCCGATAACCCCCTAAACCTCCAAGCCCTAAACCCCATGCTAAAGGATGGGTTGCCGGCCGGCCTTATACCGATGAGCATGGCCCCGTCTTCGCGCCATTGGCAAAGAGCAACAGAAGCTGCTACCTTGAAGCAACTTTTAGGCTTAGGGTTGAGGGTTTGGGGGGTAGGGGTTTTAGGGTGTAGGGATTTAGGGGTTATATTGCTATTATATTGGGATAATGGAAAAGAAAATGGAAACTGCTACTATACTGGGTTATATAGGGTCTAGGGCCTTAGGGTACAAGGGCTTAGGGTTTAGGGCTTAGGATTTAGGGCTTTAGGGTCTAGGGCTTAGAGGTTTAGGTTTAGGGCTTTAGGGCTTCGGGCTTAGGAGTCTAGGGTTTCGGGCTTACGCCCTAGGGCTTTGGGTTAGTTTAGGGTGCAGTGTTTAGGGTGTAGGGTGAAGCAACTTGAGGTCAAGGGTTTAGGCTCAAGCAACCCTGGGTTACTAATGGGATAAGTAATTAATCTGAGTTTGGGGTTCAGGGTTTAGGGTCTAGGGTTTAGGCTTAGATTCTGGGGTTTAGGGTTCAGAGTCTTGGGTTTAGATGTTTACAGTTTAGGGCTGCTAATTTGTTAGGTAATCTTCTTACAAGGGGTTACCTCGGGGGTACAATGGAATTTTAAAGGGCATGTGCTAACGTCAATGGTAGCAGTACTCTGAAAGTTCAGGTTTAGCGCTGAGACGCAATGTTGACATCCTAATCTCAAGAATACGCATACAGTTGATGGAGGAAATCTTGAACCACTTAGCGCCCCTAAACTATTGTAATTCCTTGGACTTTTGGGACTTAAGGTGGTGTAGTAGTTCATCCGTCAAAGATCCTAAACCCTTAAACCCTAAACCCCTTACATAGTATTTGTAGTATTGATGTTAGCATTGGCTGGATCGTCAAGATCTTCCGGAGTTGTGAAAGGACCAGCTCCTGGGTTGACAACTTACCCTAAGGGCCCAAATAGTAGGTTTAGGGTTTAGGGTTTAGGTTTAGGGTTTAAGGGGGGGTATTAGGTCCTAATACTATGTTATTTGGGCCCTAAAACCCTACTATTTGGGTCCTTGGACCCTTAGGGTCATGAGCTAGCTGTAGGGCCCCGGGCTTACTTAGCTTGAGTTATTATATCAGGGAAATCATATATTGCTTACTTTATATGTATATATATATATAGACACCAGTTATGATAAGTTAGTGTAAGTTCCGTAACAGCTACCCAGTTTAGGGTGATCACGGCACAAGGGGGTAGCTGCGCGCGTTTGGATGTTCTCAATCCGTCGCCTTGCGTTTAGCTATCCAGCGTTCGTAGCTTGGCTTGTACGATGTTTCTAAGTCCTAAGCCCAAACCTCAAGTGATAAACCTTAAACCGAAGCCCCACTCCTCGAACCCTGAATCCTAAACGTGTACCTTGGAAAGGCTGGACAGAGCCTGTCACCGGCCTGGATGAAAATCAGCAAAGGATCTCAGGCACGGCAATGGCGGCTTGCAGTTTCAAGTTTCAAGCGGTAGTGCAGGGGCCCAGATAAGGCGTAGACTACACTCCTTAGAGGAGGTTATGCAGCGGACAGTGGACAATATAGGGGAGTATTATAGGTGTTATTAAGGGGGGTAGTAGGAGTCTAGACTATAGCTGAGATAATTCCCCATATTCCGGCTGTAGATTCCAAACATAAAAAATACTTTAAGCAGACTTCAATGCGATATTGGTAATTTATTACCCTGAACCCTACACCCTAACCTCTGAGCTCCAAGCCCTACACAGCTCCGGTCCAAGAACTTCAGGTCTTCAGTGTCTCAGGTAGCCTTAAACCCTAAATCCTAAACCCTAAATCCTAAGCCCTAAATTTCGGGCCTGCGGCACGGGCCGG